CTTCTGGCCTGGACACAGTTTGCACCTCACCGTCACATTCCTGTCTATTCTTCGGACGAACTCAAAATAATGGGCATACCTCCACCCCTCGAAAGTTATCGCTGACTCTGCCATGTTTATGCAGCACTGCAAGTGGAGATGTGGACGCGGAAGTCGCGCAGATTACGTACATATAAACCTGCGGCGGAAACCCCTCTTGTCTGTCAGTGAGCTCAGTGTGATTATGACTGATTTTATAAAAGTAACGAAGTAACGCGTGTCGGGGCAATGTTAGTAACTGTAGTGTGATTACTGAATTATAAAAGTAACGCGTTACACTACTCCGTTACCGACAAAAGTAATATTATTACAGTAAGCCCAACTCTGGAAATGATAATGTATCAAATGTGTTTCCCCAACTGTTAAGTGTTTTATATCATTCTACCTTTTAAAGACTGGTAAAGCAGTTAAAGCTTTTATTATCTCTCGACATTCATGAGAGCTACAATTCAGAATAACTGCAAATTGCGCTTAAGCAGTAAGGTACTGTAAAAGGACCTGAGATGCCCTTTTCTCCGCCTGCATCATCCAGTAGACCTTACACTCATATGGTCTCTGAAGTACATTATCCATCATGAATACATATAAAGAGCAAATCAGACTTGTTTCTTCCCTAAATCTGCATTGGTTGAGTTTTTTGGCCACCCACACGCAGTGGAAAATGTCCTAAACTGAATATATTATCACCTTTTTGAAGCTGATATATGTCACGTGTTGGCAACCATTACCCAAATTACACATCAAGTAGCCTAATTAGCATCCATTTAAATGTGTGTTTCTACTAATGTTAAGACCAATAGAATAGCCATTCTAATTGTGTCTCTGTTTTAGTATAAAACTATTCCTAAGTGAAATATCTGGAATTTAGCTGCAAAGTTTCCCACTATGATTAGTTGCTAACTGCGTCTGGTGATGTTTGGTGCTGAGCTGGTATAGTGCATTGGTTTGATCAGACCATTGATTGACCATTTAGCATTTACTAACAGATATAAAGAAATGCAGTGTGTGGTTGTTCCTATGAGAGATAGGTCATATTAAGAAACATTGGTAAATATTACATGTTACTTGTTAGACGCTTTTATCCAAAGCGACTTACATACTCAATACTGTGGGCAATCCAGGGGTGAAGTGTCTTGCCCAGGGACGCAACAATAAAAGCGTCTAACAAGTAACATGTAATGTAATGTAATGTCCCAGTTCACCTCCTGGGCCCTGCCGTGGTGCCCTTGAGCAAGGCACCGGACAACCCCCTTCCCCCATTGCTCCCCGGGCGCTGTACAATAGCTGCCCACTGCTCCTAGTACTAGACTCCTGGTACTAGGATGGGTTAAATGCAGAGAACAAATTTCACTGTGTGTGCTGTGCATGTGTGACCATTAAAGAGGGGTTTTATCCCTCCGATTATTACAAATATATTAGCTAATAGCATTAGCATGTAGCATCTGTCCTGGTTGTAGCAGTTTGATAATTTTATCTTAAATAACTTCTATAGTTTCCCTGGAGACCAGCACCTTTTTTCCGGGTTACACGAAGCACACTCTGTGGATACAATCCTATCAGAAATATAAATGTGCTGCATAGCTGAATCAAAATGTCATTCCTCACAACACATTTTATGTTAAGTGCCACAATGGAGTATCACTGAGTATTGTCTGTGAACATATGCTCTGTGAGTGATTCATGTGAGACTCCCTCACTTCACTGACAACTCAATTGCTGTAATTGTTTAGCTGTGAGGGGAACATTTTATTGTAGCCAGATTTTGATTACATGTCTAAAAGCAAGTGTATTCATTTTGCCAGAAACGATTGATTGAATTCAATCTGTATAAGTGCAACCATTTATGATCCCACAGTTACAGCTCACTTTATTGGAGACACGGCATACGGATGAAAAGGATACAAAATGTACAGTTCTTAGTGTACACTACATTCATAGATTTTTACTCCGTTGCTCAGTCAAAAATCATGAGTAATGAGCATTTATTGCACCTTTTGGCATTATTGATGTCAAATTCAGAACCACATGAGTATAAAGGACCCAGTGTACTCCATCAGAACGGTCAGCTGGTTGAAGTTCAGGAAACCCCATCCAACTACACCTTGCTGAAGTCATATTTGGCAGGGCTGAATCAGGAAATGTATATGACTTTCTGAAACAAGCTATCTGACAGTCACACCAACTCCACACAGCAATGTATGGGCTGAATGCTATAGGTTTGAACTTCTGTCTCATTAAACTATCTACCATTCAGTCCCTCTAAGACAAGTCATCCTGTGTCCAACTTCTTGGTGGCCCCCTGACCGGCCTGGAGGGAGGTTGGAGGCCGTCCGTAGAGCAGAGCTTCTGTCATAGCGACGTGTTCAAGGCTTCCCTGTTCCCACTCTTCAACCTCTTTCTTCTCTTTTCAAACTCTGACTTTCCTGGAATTTTCCGTTCCATGTTTTTAAGTCACATACCCTTTAGTCGACCTCGTGAGTTTACCTCCTCTAGAAATCACTTGACCCAGTCCCCTGCCTGCCCAGCTGCTCCTCATTCAGTCCGTCACAGTGTGAATACAGAGACCCGTTTACAGCCAGTCTTTGCCAGATTGTCAATGTCTCCAAGCTGCTGTGGCGTTCCAGACATCCCTGTCACCTGCATCTGATTACTCGCCTTCCTGCGTCAGTCTTCAAAAATTGTTTGCCGGATTTCCATGCCTGCTCCAGGGTAATGTCGGTGAAAATCCAAATATCCAGAACAATTCCCAGTAAAGACCAGCAACAACAAACTCAAACATCACCATAGTTAAAACTACCTCCCTTTTAAACATTTGACTTTAATAAAAAAGGGTTTACTGTACCCATATTGCATTGCATTAGACTTTACAGTCGTATCCAATAAACAAATAACTCTGATTCTTTGAAACAAATAGAGTTCATTCAAAGCATGTTTTTGTATAATAAAAACATAAAAGCAAATTAATTTCAAAAGGATTGTTGGCAATTCAAATATGTAAAAGATGGATGAATAAAAATCAATCAAACTAAAACCCAAAAATAGGAAATAAGACAATTATCAGATAATCAGTATTATCATGTCAATTATATAATATCAATAAACAAAATGGATGTATCATATACATAAAGCATAAGGGTAAATGAAACCTTCATAGATGATTACTGCTAGTAGAAATAAATAGTTTTCCAAAGGTCAATTTCTCAGAAAACTTTTTCAACCTCTGCATATAAGTACTTTGAAAACGACAAATAATAAAGAAAGAGCCACAGTTCAGCCTAACGGCGTCCACAGAAAGTGACAGCATAGTGCCTACCTTCTGCAGCACAATTGTCAAGGTGGATTAATCCTCCCACACACTGCCGGCACCTTTTCTCCTTTTGCAGCCAAGTGGGGCCTATTGAGACACTTTCTCTGCAAGGCAGATGTGTTTGTTCATTCCCCAAAGCCCTGTCACCACACACAGGGAGGCAGATACCAACCAGACAAGCAGCGTGCAGCAGAGCAGGAGCGTGCACACTCCTTGTTAGCCCAAAACATGAATGTGGAGGTTATTTGTGAATTTAGGTGAATTTAAATTGCTGTAGGAAATCAGCAGACAAAAGCACAACACATTTTGCAATGTCAGTTGTTGTATTAGGGCACCACAAATGTATTATATTAATACATCTGAATGGTGTACCATAACAGAAAAAGGGAAAGATATTATGTAAACTTAAAATGCTGAAACAAAGAAATAAAAGTAAAGCAATGCATGACTTCACTGGGAAGCCGAGACATGCATATCATAGAGATGGACCAAAACAATAGTATACATAGAGTAGGTCATATTACACTGTGATCAACCTTACAAGCAAATATTGCATTGTAACCGTGCCAAATTGTGCAACTAATGCCACAGTGATGAGAGTATGCATGACACAGGCCAGAGCCATTCATCACATTCATTTATACATAGGAGAAATTAAAGGATTTACCTGCTTACTTAAAACAACTATACAGTAGTAATAGTGGTTTTTTTGCGTGAGGCCCAAGGAATTTATCTTGCCAACAGGTATTTTCAGCGAAGCAACAGCTTGATATGGCTTGTGCCCCTCGACATAGAGCTGGGCTGTCTTCCAGTCGCAGCATCAGGCACAGTATGTCTTCACTGCAAAATAAACAATGAATTCATTTCCTTCAGATGGGACTACAGATTGTTGGTCTATCTACAATTTTTTCCTAGCTCTTTCTCATAAGAAAAAGATGTCAATTGCTAGGCATGATACAAACCTTGTGGCACTTATGTCAAGTGGAAACGGGAGTTGAAGAACTTATTCTCCTTGGATCTAGTGTAGCTTTGATCCCTATTTGTACATTATTTATAGTCAAACAACTTCTGCCATGGACAAAGATGTCAGCCGTTTGCATGTGGTATCCTTTTACATTGCTTAGATTATTATTGAGTTTTAGGCAGAATATTTGTCATGCATCACTGACTAATATGTATTTCACCAAATGCAAGAACAGCTCTTTATGTGTTTAAATGTTTTGGGGACAACAATATAATACTATAACATTAAGGCATTAGCCAACTGTGGTCACACAGATAGAACTTGTTGAATATATCCATGTTTTTTTGTCTTTTCTGGGGAATAGCTGATAATAAAGAGATGCAAAAATGCCTGCGGTGTAATGTGCTCACTTGAGGGATTTTGCTTATGGCCATTACATTAAGGTCCCTTAAAGTTAAACACTGATAGAGAGAATGCCTTTAGTAACCACATAGTGAATTACTTCCAGATATGTCTTTGTTAATGTCAGAGACAGAAATCACCTGTTGAAGCAAAAGATGAATTGCCGGCTTTCTATAAAGTTCCAGGCAGCATCTTTCCTCTTTACAGCCGAGTGATCGATCGAGTGGAGATTTACAGGTCAGTTGACAACTGTTTTAATTAGCCTCTCTCTGTGTCTCCCTCCTCCAGATGGACCCTGTGCAGAAAGCTGTCCTCCATCACACCCTCGGCCTCCCTCCCACCGCAAAGAGAAGGCACGTCTCCTGCAGCGTTTGCCAGCTAAGGTTCAACTCACAGGTGAGCCACTGCTCCTGCCACAAATATACACAGAAAACACCCCAAAACCACATTACAACCTACCTGCTCTGGTGTCAGTCTAGATGACCTTCACATAAATAGAATTCTGTTAGGGCAGGTCATATTTCTTTAATTAGTAACAGTAGAAAACTGAGTAAAAAAAGTATACTGTCGTGTCCGAATCAGAAAACCTTTATTCGTCCCACATTGGGGAAAGGTTATGGCGTCACAGCAGCAAGGTACAGACAAAAGGCAGAAAACAGGCGAAAGAAAAAATAATAGAAGTACATTAAATAAAAATGTAGGCACACATTATTAAGATTAAAAAAATAAAGAAATTAGTACACCTTGGTAAAAGATAAATAATGCAGCACTATTTTAAAAAGGAATTGATCATATGAAGTAATGTGTTTCAGCCATGCCAGTAGTGTGGCTATGTGTCTGTTTGCCAGTTCCTATTTTCTTTGCAAACCGAAATATTCCAAAAACTGGCATATGGATTGCCAAGATTTTGTTCCAAAGATGTGTGGCTTGCAGAGGATGTATTAACTGAACTACAGTGTATCCCTTACATTTCCCTCATCACCAACTCAAGATGTTCAAGTGTTAATTATTTTTATGACATTTCTTGGCAAGTTTTGGATGGATTGGCACAACTATTAGCAAAGACTAGAGTGAGATATTACAGTTCACTCAGGGTGAACTGTAATATCTCTTGTAATTCTCTGACTTTTACTGCATAGCTATCATCAGTTCATAGATTGTATCTGTCTATTCACTTTATTTGTGAATACCTAAAAAAACACACATCACATTCCCGTCAGCCACAGCTTTCCTTTGTTTTGGTGCTAATTTGTGTGATTTGCACGGGAGCTCCAGCCGTTTAGTTGGTCGTCTGGTGTATTGAGGAACTCATTGGAAACCATCTTTGTGTCGTTTCTTAAGTCTTTGTACATTTCAGGTCAATCCAATTGTGCCTGAAGCTTAGGTCTGAATGGCTGTCGTCCAGAGCCTCTATTTTGCATAGCAATAAACAGCATGTGGAAAACCTTTTACTCTGACGCATCTTTTTGAATGAGTACTGAAATTCAGCAGTAAACATGTTAACGAGTAGTGAAGGATTTAAGCTTGATACCAAACCATCTATTCCAACATTTCAAAATACGGCTGCCATTAACATCAGATTATCGCATCCTATATAGAAGATGCAATAATCAATATTATCGCAACATTCATGAACATGAAATGCCATCAATAGCATTCAGCTTCCCGTCTTTTTCTTTTTCAACTGAATTAAACTTGAAAGAGCAGTGGGACACAGAAAAGGTGACAATGGGAATTAACGGGTATCATTTCAAAAGGTTCTGAATTATTCAAACAGCATTATCCTATGAGTATTATTCACATTAAATCAATATTTCACAACATGCTCATAGTTATACATATTTTATTTATCAAAGTAAGAAGGATGAGGGATATGAATACAAATAAAGAGATTAATGAAGATTTAATCACGGGTCATTGAGAGATAAAATTCGAGAGTGAATGAGACAAAAGGTTGATGGAGAGTCACACAAAGTTAGCTGCTATTTTCCCATTATATTCGGAGGCTCTCATTTGTCAGATGAACCAAAAGATGTGAAAAAAACAAATCATCTCTGTGTTTGTGTTACTGTGTACAAGCCAAAAAGACACATTACTGATAAATATCAAAGCCGCAGTCATTATGAACGTGGAGGTGCAGGCAAGCCTTTTCCATTCCACAATCTCCGAACAACAACTAAAACATGACAATGAGTGATATAAGCAATAGGAAATGTTATTATCTTGAACCTCAGCATGTAAATAAACCATGTGCAAAATGGTCCATAAATGTCCCATCATATTTCCAGAGCAATGACAATTAGGCAAATATGGAGATTGTTCAGTGTGACATTTTGGTTGTCTTAAACAGCATGTCAGGTTTCTTTTGTAAAATACTGTGGTGCAAATGTAAAGTGTAAAAGAAAGGTGAAGAGATGAAGACATTTTTACTGTTATTTTACTGCAGTAAAGAGAGGCGCTCAACACACTTATTTTCCTATAGAGTATTCAGTAAATTAGCTACACAACTGTTTTGTTCGTGTCAACAACGATATGGAAACCAAAATCTATATCTGCAATACGTTTTTTAACAATAGTTATACTTGCTTGGACCACAAATGGTTGTTCTCAATGAGTTCCTGAGATTCTCAAAATGTGATGGCATCTAGTGATTACACCCAACTGTAGTCAGACTGATGTGTGAAAAGACCAATTACACCATTTACAAAACAAAAGAACGGGGAAACACATCAGTGACCAGCCTGAAGCTACCCATTCATATTGAAACAAAGCACCGTCAGCTCTACGATGATAAAACAACAGAAGTAGTTCAATGGGAATCATTTTAAGTCCACAGGGGGTGCTTTTTATGTAAAAGTCTCCAGCATGCCCCCCAATGGTGCTCAGGGTATTCACTAACAGCTTTCTCTGGATTCATCCTGATCCACGGCAGCTTCATTATGACTCGATCACAAGTCTTTTAATGTTTTAATATATTGCATCATATGAGCAAAACCGACTACAGGAAGGAGATCCTTTTACAAACTCTGTGTCTATCCTGAAGTATTTCCACAGTCATTAGCTCATATGTGCACTCTTCAGTACAATCATGAAATGCATTGCATTAATACAAGCTTGCTAAATCTAAGCGATGGACTAGCAGATGGGTTTCGATTTCCCTCGCATCTAATTTCCATACCATTTCCAAAGTAATCAAAATATTTGAAAGGAAAATTACTGCTGCTGCATGTTGTTAAATCAGTAGCATCCCTAAATAGCAATGTCATCGCTCTTTCATTAAGGGAGTAATCAATCTATTTCTCACACGGAATGTGTCAGTGATTACTGAGGATACGCTTATTATGTTTTACATGGAGAAATCTATATCCGTATATATTTACTGTCCATCAGCGGTTCATTTGAACACTTCATCAGAGAGATAGACTCTGTGTTTACCTGTCAATCATCAGGTGGTGCTGTGTTGAGCTGGGACCCCTCAGATACCCAGGCGGTGTTGTTTCTTTTTTATTTAAACCACAGCTACAGCAGGAGTGAATCTTAATATGCTCCAGTGACAGATTGTCATAAAATAAAACTGCAGCTTGGATGATGCAGAGCAGGAAGCCTGTGGGGTTCTGCTAAATACAGATCCAAGCTGCTCTGTCGGAGAGCAGAAAGTCTGTTTGTCAGACAATTATGTGAGTTTATAAACAGGAAAGCTTCTCTTTTTCAAAAGATCTTAGTTTGTTGCTGCTTTACGAGATGCACACGTGAGTCAAGGTCATAAACTGGATTTACGTCTGTAATTTGTTGACAGCGAGTGAGTCACCAGATCTGATCTACTCCCTTAACAGGGAACTTTTCTTTATGTTTACATTCTATGCGTCATGTTTTTAGAACATTTTACAAGTTTAATTAACCGACTTATAGTTTACAAGATACAAATCCAAAGGAGATTTCTAAGTCTACATTTTATTCAATAATTACAATTAGATGTAGACAATAAATTACATCCTATTATTGTTTTCATCGTAGGATTTTTTATGAGAGGACAGGAAGTATTTTAGGTACTCAAGAACATTACTCTAAAGATTGGACCAGAGTTAACATTAAACCAGTATCAGAAAGGTTACTACCTTCTGATCAGGCTTTCTTCTACTCAAACCTCTTAACCAATGTGAAAGAAAACCCACTTTCACCTGGCTTTCGTTTCCAGTGTAAAGGGTATTTTTCCATTGTTGCAACAACCACCAAATATGGTTTTAGAGTTTAAAAGACACTGTATATTAAAATATATTTAAGAAATGAACACTGTTTACTAACACTGCTTTACTCTGCGTAATACATAAAATAATACTAGAAAAAACAAACTTAAAGGTAGGGTAGGTAAGTTTGAGAAACCGGCTATGTTATAGATAATGGCACAATGCATTCATGGTGTTACAGGAGTGCACACAACAAGTGACTTGAAGAGTTGTATTAAGAGCTTAAGGGAGAAGTTCAAACCCTGGCTCCAACCGTGGTGAAATTTGGGTGTGAATGTTGGCTCAATGTTTGTGTGTGATGTGTTCTTGTCCAAAGCTTTTCAAGCTTCTGGCTGTAGTTTAAACAAGCACTGGGTGGTAAAGTAAGGGGTATAATAACAGAGCACATTTCTTTAGAACAAGTTTTCTTTGTTTAATATCATAAAATGCTGAGTCTTACTTCTTCCGTACTTTTTTTTTTTATTAGTAAAAGACACATGAAAAGTAATACAATTTCATAGGAAAGAAAATATCAGATTAAGATATTTTCTCTCCATGCCATTCTTTTAGTAACAACAGTCTCCCTAAGGGATGATGTGATAGCACCAGGAGGTGCTGTGATTGGATAGTTTGAAAACTCGGAGGACATATTTTCTTAACTCCACCAGGTAGGTTTTCAACAAGGTGATCCCCCAACAACCTGAACATGCCCCCAACAAGTCAAAGGTTCCCACCCCTATTTAAGCAGCAGCACCCAGCTGTAGGGAGACTCTCAATAAGCCTCATGGTTGAGTTGAACCTCCTGGCACAATGGCAGTCAGCAAGCTCGTCAAATACCTTCTCTTCAACTTCAACTTATGGCTTTTCTGCGGAGGAACTGCTATTCTCAGTTTCTCTGCACTTGTCAGGATCAACAAAGCAACCTTCCAGATCACAGATGAGCTTCTTCCAGCCTTAAACCTCCTGATGTTTGTTGGTGCCATGACCATGGCTTTTGGCTTCCTGGGCTGCTGTGGAGTTCTTCGAGAGAGCCGCTGTCTGCTGGCCATTTTCTTCATGTGCTTGCTGGTAATGTTCCTCATGCTGTTGTCTGTGGGAGTGTTGGGAGCCATAACGAGAACCGCATCTGCCCAGGAGATTGTGAAGAAACACATGAAAGATCTGCTACCGCTCGGCCATCAGCCGCAAGATTTTCAGGTGTCGTTTCAGATTGTGGAGGAGACCGAGTTCTGTTGCGGTTTCTTCGCTGGACATCATGATTGGGGAAATCCCAAAGCGGTGCCGCCCTCTTGTAACTGCAAAGACTTCACCAATAACTGCACTGTTATAGAAGAACGTATTATCTATGCGACACTGTGTTTGACGTACTCTATGACGTGGTTGGACAGGGTATCAGTAACCTTCATGGGCATTGCGTTTGGATTTGGAATGTTGATAATCCTGGGCATGATTTTCTCATCGATCCTGTTCTGTCAGCTGCGTGATGGAAAGAAAGGCTTCTTTTTTTCTTTCTAAAGTGTTCATCACAACGGAACTTTACCTGTGTTTATCAAAGGACAACGCATCCTGTTCGTGTTGAATGCTTTTCTACTGGTCTCTGCCTCATTGTACATTTTATTTTTTTCAAACCGTTTTTCAACAATTGTTTTTAACCTGTTTTTTGCAGCTTTTTTGGTTAATTATTTTTTATATTTTTCTAGTTCTCTACCTGTGTTTTTTTATTCTTGATTTACTTTGATGTATGCAACACGACAACAAGTCAAATTCCTCGTACGTGTAAACCTACCTGGTAATAACCCTGTTTCTGATTCTGATTCTAATAAACATTTTAACCGTGGAAAAAGCTCTATTTTATTAAATGTAAATTGATAAATTGTAGGTTTATTCATTTATGTAGCAGAACTTGTGTAAATGCTCACAAATTAATACTGTTTTGTATGTATTATAATACATTATAAAATGCTTAATCTTTTTACTTTCATTCTTATTTTTTTATATATTTTTTTAAAGTATGTTCTGCCCTTACCTAACTGAATATTTAAAAAAGGTCAAACCTAGCTCCACCTCCAGTATAGTGTTGTTTACCCTTAAATGAATCAGCATTCACAAGACATTTAAATGACAATAAATCAGCAATAGCAGCCATTGTTTTCAAAGCTCAGACAGATAGTTTGAAGTACCCGGTGCTGTTTATATCAATGATTGGAAAAGATCAATTATTTATATGTTAATTGACATTAAAGTCTAAAGAAAGTGAGATAATTGAGTGTGTGTGTGAATGAGATGAGACAAAACTAAATGTAACCATTTCTCTTGCCAAGAAAGGGCCTCACATAAATGAAAGGAAACAAAACAACAGAAAACTTGAAGGCAATATATTAACAGCACAGATCTAAAGTAAGGGGTGTTAAAAACAGAGTGCATTTCTTTAGAATTTTGTATGCAAAAAATGAATCACTACGACATCACTACTACTGATAAGCATTGTTGCTTTGAAGCAATTTACTAAAGCAGAAAAAACACAAGAAGCATATGTCTTCTTTGCTTGTTAGATACATGTGCATCCTAAACACTGTTCCTCCTTGGTTTGGGCTCAGATATACTGATTTCTCAACTTTTACCAACTTTATGATTGTTCATCAACATGATTTTGAACTATAGAAAGTTCCCATCTGCTGCCAAAAAAAACAATACATTATGTCTGTTCCAGTTGAGTTTTTAAACGGTTTACGATTTTAGACCTCAGGGGTCTTTGAACCCAAACACACTTTATTTATTTTTACCATTATAAAATGCTTAATCTTTTTACTTTCATTCTTATTTTTTTATTTTAATTTTTTTAAAGTAATGGCCACATGAAAAGTAATAAATATTCAAAGGAAAATAACCTTTGGATTTATATATGTTCTTGTATATTTATTTGTTACATTTGAATGATTTCCTGTCCCTCCATGCCATGACATTGTTTGAGTAACAACAGTCTCCCTAAAGGCCCTGACACACCAGGCAGTCACCAGAGAACTCGCCGACACCGACAGTTCCATCGACGAGTTCTCCTGCGTCTTGGCCGTGTGTCGCACTGGAATACACCGCTTTACTTCAGCCGAGCACGTACGAACTGCGCATGCGTGAGTGGCAATAACTGTCCTTACCAGCAGGCGGCGGTAGTGTGTATTCGTCATTCAAAATAGGCAACAACCGGAAGACAGAGAAGAAGAACAGACTGATATAAACAAACAAATAGCGTGTGCGTTCCATTTTCACTCTCGTCCATCGAAAACATGTTTTAGAATATAAAAATACATGAATGATGAAATGAGCACATAAAATGCAGACATACTATAAAATCACAGTTAATAGACCTGCATCTGATGATCGCAGTGTTCTGGCAGGTGTGTAGTTTATTGAGTCAACAATGTAGTAATGTATGTAATGTAATAATGGCCACTTCTTGCTAAATTTACATTTCCATGTGATGCTTTTATCCGAGGCGACTCACAATAGGTAAATGAACAGCAGTAGACAGTATCTCATTTACTTAGACACTGTACTTAAGGACAATGTTGAGGTACTTGAGACTAATCCTGCAACTTTATACTGACAAATAAACCGATGAGATGAAAAACCGGACTTGACCAAACAAATCACGGAGCTCTCAGCAGAGGACAGCCGGGGACGCTCCCGCCGATATCAGAGATGTCCCTGCTATGTGTGGGAGGTAAGAGAGGACATTTAAGGGCTATGTTTGATGTCTTTAAGTATCACCTGCTGGGGTTTAGCTGCTGTCCTGTGCCTTTTTTAATCGTTTGTTTACGTCCCTCACTTCCGTTTCGCTTCTCATTTGCTAGCTGAACAGCTGATCAGAGTGGTTTCTTGGCCCGATAGCTTGTGTCCGTATTTTGGCCGATTCAACATGTTGAATCGGCCATGTGTCGACCGTGAAAGGCCAAATAAGGCGTGTCACGGCCGAGGGTTCGGGACACACCAAATTGACTTTGGGCGACAAGGAACGCGTTGTCGCCAGACAACGCAAGACGGCCGAATACGGCCTGGTGTGTCAGGGCCTTAAGGCCCAGGCCCCACGGGAACGAAAACGGGTTGTATCCGCATATTTCTCTTGCGTATAGCCCTTTTTGCCACACCACGCCGTAACGGAACGGTAGAAACAGACCCTGCAAACGACAACGGGTCCAAAGGTGGATAGATCTGGGAACGGAGCGCTCTGGGGGGTCCAACGGCTCCGTGTGGTAGCCTATACGGTCATCATTTTCTGATAATGACGACGCAATAGCCCTGCCTCCCCCCACCTCTGCTGCTCACCCCTGCAAAAGTACACTGCACACTGAATTCAGATTATTTATCTTTATCTCGATATGGACATAAACGTGAGTGAAGTCTAATCTGACAGGACGGAGACACGCAGCTCCTCCCGCTGTGATGCAGCGGGAGCAAAACACACATTTCAAGTCAGATCATCACCCTTAGCTATTTTAATTACCTCTCAAACTACCTAAAATAGTTATAAATATGTTTATTTTTACTGTCGAGTCATCATTACTGGATCAGCTGCTGCATGAGACAGACACTGACGCTGTGAGAAGAGAGGAAAAAGAGACAGGCTCCGTGTATTTTATTATTATATATCATTATATAGAGTCGTTATTCATTTGTTTTAAAGCTCAATAAATAACAAAGAAGACCTTTGACCGGCACTTTTATAATTTTGTCCGGAAGATTTAAACTTTAACACACGTTGACCGGCGAAAAACTCTGCCCGGTTCCCTCGGCCCCCACCACGGAGAATAAACAGAAGTGCAGACATGACAACCATTCTTCTTCGCTGCTTTTGTGGAGGAAGTTACAGCGCCACGTACAGGCTCGGCATATGTACTGCAGCTTTTCCAGCGGTTGGATCTAAACGGAGCTGTCTCGTGTGGGAAGACACTATCCGGTGTATATTGCGTGTGGGCGGAAGCTTTTTGGCGATTGCGTTTGCGTTAATCCTATGCGTTTTGCCGTATGCGTTCCCGTGGGGCCGGGGCCTAAGTGTTTGTGTGATAGCACCGGGAGGTTCTGTGATTGGATAGCTTGAATAATTGGGAGGACTACTTTTCTTAACTCCACCGGTCAGTTTTCTCTGTTCTCTGCTTCAACAAGGTGATCCCCAACAACCTGAACACGCCCCCAACAAAGAGTCAAAGGTTCCCACCCCTATTTAAGCAGCAGCACCCAGCTGCAGGGAGACTCTCATTAAGCCTCATGGTTGAGTATAACCTACAGACACAATGGCAGTCAGCAAGCTCGTCAAATACCTTCTCTTCAACTTCAACCTTTTGTTTTTCCTGGGAGGAATTGGTATTCTCAGTTTCTCTGCATTTGTCAGGATCAACAAAGCAGACTTCCAGATCACAGATGAGCTTCTCCCAGCCGTAAACCTCCTGATTTTTGTTGGTGCCATGACAATGGCTTTTGGCTTCCTGGGCTGCTGTGGAGCTCTTCAAGAGAGCTGCTGCCTGCTAGCCATTTTCTTCAAGGGCCTGCTGGTAATGTTCCTCATGCTGTTGTCTGTGGGAGTGTTGGGAGCCATATCGAGAACTGCATCTTCCCAGGAGATTGTGAAGAAACGCATGAAAGATCTGCTACCGCTCAGCAAACAGCCTGAAGATTTTCAGCTTGCCTTTCAGGATGTGGAAAGGACCAGTTTCTGTTGCGGTTTCTTCGTTGGGCATCTTGATTGGGGAAACGCCACAGTGGTGCCAGACTCCTGTAACTGCACAGACACCTCCAGAAACTGCACTGTTTTGGAAGCACGTGAGATCTTTGCGACACCGTGTATGACGTACATTTTGACGTGGTTGGACAGATTATCAGAAACCCTCATGGGCATTGCGCTTGGATTTGGCATTTTGATGATCCTGGGCATGATTTTCTCATTAGTCCTGCTCTGACACAAAAGTTTAATTTTAAAATGTTCATCACAAGGCCTGAACTTTACCTGTGTTTATCAAAGGACAAGGCATCATGTTCATGTTGAATGTTTCTTTATTGGGCTCTGCCTCATTGTACTTTTTTTTTTACTGTTGTATTGCTTATTAAACATTTTAACTATGAACAAAGTTTGATTTATTCATGTCAATTGCTAAATTGTAAGTCCAGAGCTTCTTTCTTTTGTGTAGCAGATCTTACATAAATCCTCACCAATTAATACATTTTTGGAAGTACTGCACTCTATCTGTATTTAAAAAGGTTAACACCTAGCTCCACCTTTTTAACTTTAATGCATGAGCAATGACAAATCAATTTAAATGACATTATACTGTAGCAGCCTTTTGTTTTCAGCAGATCTAAGTAAATGTTCTTACATTTTGCTGATGAAACTTTACTATTAAGTATCATTTTCAACAGGGGACTTATTTTCCCTGTTGGTTAAACACACATGTGTGTTGGGTGAAATCAGCTTGGTGATTACATTCACCTGTCAACTCATCGGACTTCACGTGGGGAGGAATCTGTGCTCTTTAAAAAGTGAGGTCTGAAAAGGTTTGTAAACAACACAGGTGTTGATTTTTCTAATGCTGAGAGTAAACCTTTCTGCATTTATAACAAAGCATTAATTGACTCAAGTGGGAAGATAAGGACTGCTGGTTTCAGACATGTATCCCTAGACAAATTCACACTGTTGTATTTGGATGTAACTAAAGTACATTCAGGGAAATAATCACTCGATAAAACTAGGTGCTGCTTGGTGCCAGAGGAGGAAACATTCATAAAATGTTTTTATTTCCTTTTGGTATAGACTGTCCTTCCATCCTTAAAATTATACAGTACTGGCTACACACCCTGGCATACACTCACGGAAACTAAGTCATAAAGATGTATGCCTGGCTAATATGGTGCATCAATTCAGACCCACAAATAAAAGTGGGAGAAGACTCCAACTCCATAAATGGGAAAAACCGCACTTGTTTAAAAATTCTGAGTAAACTATTCCACAAATAAAAATGATTTAAGCTGGTAATCCTCCATTACATCAATGTTGGGCTTTGGAGATACATTTATTTGAACATTCAATTTATGAGCATTTGTTGGAGAGCAGGAGTCAATGAAACGAAAAAACACACAGCTGTAACATTTGTAAACTTTCCTCCGTGTTAAGCTTGTGCTCTGTTCTGAATCACCCTGACCATCAGAAAGGTCTGTTCATGGAAGAAATTGCTCATTCTTTTTCAAATCACATTGAGTTAATTGAATATAGAAACCAGAACAACATGTTTCGGGAGGCGTGTGGTGCAGTGGGTTGTGCGTTGGTGTTCGGCTCAAACCCCACTGCAGTCAGCATGTCGTTGTGTCCCTGGGCAAGACACTTCAACCCAAATTGCTCCTGTGGGGATTGCCCACAGTGTTGAGTAAGTTGCTTCTAACAAGTAACAAGTGACATGTAATGTTTCGAAAACCCCCCTTCTCTTAAAACCTCAAATGTTCCCTCTTTGTTCAGCAAAACATCGACCAGTTTGATATTGTAATTAAATTGTGAAACGTGATTTTTTTTTTTCAGTCAAGTTGTGTTTCCTGATAGACTTGGAAAGATTTCATACATTTGTACTTAACAATTCAAGTTGGTCTTGTCTTCTTCCAAGACCCTGCCTCTCCCGTTTACTGAGATTGTTTGACATGCAGTGACGCAAACCACAGACTACTATTAGTATTTAAAGTACCTTCAATTACATGTGGTGTTCTTATAATCCTTATCCACATGCCATCTTTTTTTATCATGAATTTGGGATTGAGAATATAATTTCCTAAATACAAAAAGGAGGATATCTGATGTAACACGCAATTCTAAATAAAGGCACAGATGCAGGTTATGAAACGTTAAACCATGTGTTGCAATGATCTGATAAAGACTGAACCACTGAAGTTACAGCAAATAGTTTTCAGATTACCTCAAGTGTTAACTTCACCTCATCTATCTAATAAGCTAAAAAGGAAATTGACATTGGAAGAGTAGTAGGTTTTATTTCCTTAAGTAAAAAAAAAGTGTATTAAATTATATATTTAATAACGGTGCTTTCATTCACCTGCATCCATTGCTTTCCCCCCCCCTGTTTCTCTACATGGCTGTAAAGGTAACACTGACATATTATCACCTTCTGAAAGTGTTAATGGCTTGACAAACTGTTGCAGATCCAGCAGACACAGACCAACACACTCATTCAAAGACCTGCTCCGTTTGTCTAATTGTTTACTCATATATCTGCCTTTGATGCAGCAAATACTCCACTATTGAGAGCTTTCTTGTTAAAATCAGGAACAGGCAAAGCTGATGAGTGTAGTGAGAATAAACCCAAACAATAAAGATAAGGGCCATTAAACCAAAACGGTCCTCAGAGCTTAGGGGAAATTATGCATTTGTGGCCATTTTCTGTGGATTTCTAGCCCCAAGCAGCATCTTTCACATCACACATAGTTATTTATTCAATTGTTAACACGGAAATAATGATCAGCTTGCGATGGGCGGAACAAGGCATTCAATACTTCTCTTTGAGTACAGATTAAAAACCATGTCCAAAAGACAAACAGACACATTAAGTGTGAAATTGTTTTAGTGGTTTAAACTACAATGTGTTTGCTGTGGTGAAAGTAGTAATTAACAGCATTGTTCCATTAAAACATCATTTCAAGTTTCAATTGTTTATTTAAAATGCTATTTTTTTTTAGGACTGAATAAATACAATCCAAGCTATGGTTCCTTGGTATTATTATATTTAGTTAAGACTTAACAGTTCAAATATCAATAAAGCCTGAGCACACAGGAGCACACCACAAGCACAAATGCAGAAGTCTCTCATCTGAAATTACCCAAAAAATTGTGTTTTCAGGTAGGAGCCCATTGCTCATAAGAAGCCAGTTTAGCAAATATGTGTCAGAGCTTTTAATGGAAGAACTTAATTAGATTTACACTTCAGCTGACGCTCAAATTCAGGTTTACTTACTGTGCCAAAAACAGTTCTCATGACTGTTGATTGATACATGGAGATTTAAATGGTGACCTTTTGGTTTCCAGACAGCCCCTCTTAATCTTAAAACCCTCCGACTATGATTTTGTTTGATGTCTTTTCCCCCTCACAGCTCACCTGCAAGGAAAACAAATGATTCCCTTCACAGTTTTAATCATGCATGTGTCAGCCTTGGAATTCAGGCAATTCTTTCGCTCCATTTCTCTAATGAAAGATGAATTTATGGCGCAGTCACATTAAACAACCATTCATATCACCTGAGTCCCATGACAAAATATAAGTTATGTCTTCAGTACCTGGAGAGTGATGAATGTGGTCAAAATGAATAGTTTCACGCCAGAACAAGATGTGCACTCAGTTTGAAAAAGTGACGCCTTATCCAAAAATGTTTTTATTGGAATGAACGGAAAACGTTTAAGCCCTTTTAGCAATTCCAACTACCTTTGCCAACAAAATATTTGAACTAAATGTATTCTCCCCACATAATTAAATCTCTTTACTTGTCTTGTTAAATCAACCATTCACATACACTTGTAGGTTCACAATGGATATTAGATATTAGATCAATATTGGAAGTAAATTAGGATAATTTAAGTGATACCTACCTTAACTAAAATAAAATGCTTTGTCACAAATAATGAGCCTATTTTCTCACAATTAGACCAATCTTACCACTGCTTACAACCAGTAGAGGAATGTAACTACATAACCTTGCATATTTTGGTACATGTACTTTACTTAAATATTTCAGTTTAGGCTATTTTATTCTTCCACACCATTATATTTCAGAGGGAAATAAACAGCACCTATATTTGACATAGCTGCTGGGTTATTTTTACATTAAAAACACATGATACGCTTGAGAGCAGTACCCAGAAGTATACAAAGTCACTAAAATTGGCTCCACATTGAGGAACTACAACATTAAAACCATTGACAGTAAATTATAAAAATAGTTACGTTTTTATATTAATAGACATTTGACGAAAATATGTATTTACATTTTGGAATTAGGAGTTTAACTTATACTTTTTGATTGGGGGATTTATTGGCATACATGGGCTATTTCCATGCTGGGTGTAGTCACAGTGATTGGTGATTGCGTTCACCTTATCAGAGTACTCCATCCCCCACTGTCTATAAAGAACTGGCTGTTCTTGCTGAAGAGGAACAAATGGAAAGGAAAGGAATACTTCTTAAATTGTAATGCAAAGAGGACCACCTGGAATGTGCTCTTTCAGCCTTTAGTGAATGTCCCCACTGGGGCCCATAAATAAAGATTCTTCCAAATGTCTTCTGGGGAATGCGTGGTTGGCTTGCTTATTTATTCCGAGAGGCAATTGCATTTTTCCTGATACCTTCGTTTCTGCCACAGGCGAAGTATGCACGGGCATGAGCAAAGGTAAACAAGGACAGTTCAAAGTCTCTACATATGTCCCACTTCTGTATGCCTGGGTTAGTATTTCCTGAAGGTGAAACTTAGTGGCGCGACGTGATCAGACTTTAAAACAAACAGCGGCTTCATAAATTATACATCGAGGGTCACACAAATATCTGAATCACTTATTTCTTCATTGTTATTAATGAAGAAATAGGCTTCATAATCACATTGTCACTGTGTTGACGTCTCTTAGTTACAATAGCCCGACAAATTTGAAATGTTAATAACTATTCAGGGATTAATACATTTCATTTATTTATTTGTTATGGACATCAAGGCTTTCTTAAACAGATCATTTCCATGAAACAATTAATTATTTCCAATTTCCAATGATTTAATATAATTGCTTTCATTATATTAAATCTTTTTTGGTAAAAAGATAAAAACAACTGCCAAAACAAAGCATTTAAATGACTAACCAAGTACCTGGATTTATGGATTTATTAACAATGTTGTACTAGAAGATTTGTTTCCACTTTTTGCTGGACAGAAAGACGTATCAATGGTCCCTTGCTAATTGTGTTTAGTCTGCTTCGCTGAGTGACTGTGTTCCTCTAGTTTTCATATTCTATTTCATCCTGGCGCTGCTTTCCCAGCGCTAAATCGAGCCTGTTATTTGTTCTCCTCACAGAGCCAAGCCTTGGCCCACTACAAGGGCACAAAACATGCCAAGAAGCTAAAAGCCCTGGATTCTCCGAAGAGTAAGCTCAAAGGCTCAGTGGTCACCAAGGAAACCACCAACCAAGAGATCGCCAAGGGCATCAACACCTCGCAGGTTCCCATCGGCACCGACAGGAAAGGTTTGTGTTTTCCTGCCTGCTGCACATTCCCCAACACATGTTCTTTGTTGTGGTCTTTTTATAGCTGCTGCCATTGTTGAGGATGAATGTTGGACCCCAAAAAACCCACCTTTTTGGCATTTTACATTTGCTGCACACAACATGCAATCACTTTAGGACCTGGATGGACTCACTGTTGATTAAATCAACAACCCTGTGTTGGCTGGTCTGCCAACGGCTGGCTGCTGACTTATTGAATTTGTAGAGTTGTAGAGAAGAATTAGGCAGGGCCTGATTATGCCTCAAACACAACGCTTGTTGGATTGTCCTGGTCACAACCAGCACTGTAGGAAAAAACTAAGCTCCGTTATTCATTCTGTTTGTTCGATGCAGCGTCAAAATGCCATGTTTTCTTCAGTCTGAATGCAACTATACAGTATTGTGTTGAACACCCTCTTTGTTCTACTTTTGTCACCTTTTTATTTGTTAAGCTTGTACTTGCCATGCATGCCTTTCAGGAGAGACTTTCTAAAAGGGTGTGACATTATCGATTGGCTGTACAATTCACTGCAGAGACACAATAGCCATAGAGATCTGAGAAGGAGGTCAAGGTGGCAGCCAGTGGGGATGCTTTTCATCCTTTAAATGTAATCAGGTTAAACCTTCAGAGTTGTTGGAAGACATGCGCTACACACTAGTTAGTTTGAAGCACACTGAAATCTTCATCTTGCTGCCACTTATAGAACCGTGTGCTCCAGAAGTCATGCTTCCTATATTGGATTTGTAGTGTTTGCCTTTTATCCCTTTTCCTAATTGCATTTGAGTTTTTGCACATTGTTGTGCTGTGACTGTGTGTAACTTAATATTCATCACGTAGCAGACAGGTGGCTGTTTAAATCCGGTTATCTTGGCCAGGTGTCTGACGAAAAACATTTCTATTCTCGGCGGAATTCCTACTTTAAAACATGTTGAAAAAGTAAACAAACAAGAACTGCAACTTCAGTTACCTGACAGGAACCAGATGCAGATTATTTTAAATGATTTTATCTGCAGTGTTTCACATTGGTTCTGTGGAAGATAACATCTGCCGAGGAGCCCTGCTCTCACGGCCTCCTCCCGTTTAATGCTCTTTAAGCTACTTGTTATAATGTCATGAAATGGGCCCAATGAAAGTCTTCCCCTTCATCTGTAGCAATAGACTTTTAAAGGGATTGGAAACACATTGAGCCATCACACTCTGGGATTAATTTCACCTCTGCCCATGTCTTCTTCCAATGTTCCACACATTTTTAAATTAGGAGCACATTTCTGTAGCTCAATGTGCACCATGACCTATTTGTCAAGTCTGACCTATTCCTGCTTAACGCTTAAAGGTAGCTTGAGGTGAAAACTGAGCCATTAAACGGTTCTGAACTTCTGATGCTCTAAACCGGTCTTCATACGATGTCTCTGAAGGGAATATTCTGGCTCATAAATGCTAAAAATATTAATATATGTTATTATATAACTAGTATTTAACTTTACATATTCAACCTCACATAGGTCACAGTCTTATGGTATTTTAAGAGCTTTATACCTAGCAGCATTCTGTCTCGCATCCCAGAGTTACTAAGCTGCCATACTGTCAGACCGTTAAGTGGAGCAATTTGCACTTAAGCAACCCCTGAGCTAATCCGCACTGCAGTTAACCAACATTTACCGTAAGAGGTGACGTTATGCTCCCTTCGGCGGCCATCTACAAGGTCTCTAGAGCCACTTTCACACATGCACTGCAACCCTGAAATTATCAAAAAATTACCCGGAGGAGCTGTAAGTGAGAACGCAAGCACCCCAAACATTTGGACTGGACATCAAACAGCCTTTATCCTGCAACATACTTAGTATACGTCCAAAGTGCGATTATGCCCATGTGTGAATAGAACCGCTCATTCCCTGGTAAATTCTCTGTTAGCGAATTAACGTGTTGATGGTGTTTCCATGCAGCGTTTCCAAAAGCCGCTACGTGGCCGCGGTGTAGGCAGATCTGCGTCCTTCTTGCCTCCTGCATGCTCTACCCAGACCCCGCCCCCTTGCCTAACATTTCGATTAAGTGAAAAAGCGACTGGCTATACTTCAAGAACATTTTATTTCAAAAACATTGTGTTCATAACACAATAAAAAGTGTGTATAATAATAATTGTTGGGTGAATTTGTGGGATAGTTTGGCTTTAGAAGCAAATTCCAAACATTAAACAATTAAAGAAGATGTACAGAACATTGTGTAGAGGTGTAGGGATGAGTAAGTGTTTGGTAGGATGAACGTGAACAATCTTGTATAATGAGCGCTTGCTATATATATTTTTTATTTTGCCTCTTTGTAATATGTTTAGAATAAATGAAAAACATTTTCATTAAATATAAGATGCATAACTCCAGTAAACTTGAACCTTTCAAAGGATCACATTTTGCAGAATATATTAACTGCTGGCTCGTTTTCACTCATATGTATACAACCACATTAAGGCTGTGAACTGAGGGGTGTTCATGTGCTGTGGGAACCCTGAGCGTTGAAGACTCAGTAACTAACTAGGCAGATTTTAAGTTTAAATGAAAGAAGCATATTACTAAACATGTGCAGCAAATATGTTCCAACGGAAATGTAATGCAGCCCACATGTCCAATTAAGCCCAATATATTTATAGAAGCATACGTAATAGAAGATTTAATAATACGTTCATGACTTACTCCAACAACACAAAACATGTATGACTGGAGTGCTTAACAGTATGATTGTTTCTGCACTGAGATAGCCATCTGTAATCCGTAGTGGACTATATCTGACATTAAACATGCACTTTAAAAAAATACCAAATTGTAAACACATTAAACACAGACGGAGAACTCAAGAGATCTTAAACAACAAGCCTTCATAACCAAACAGACAAATAGCTATTAATCATTTCGGTGCCCTTAAAAAACCCCGGCACATTTCTGCACCATCTCACTATCGTATCTACAGTGCACGGGGGCGGCGAATTGTCACAAATGGCACTGGGTAATGAATATTAATGTGCTCAGATGTCAGAGGAATTAATTGTCGAGGCGGGTAAATGCTGCATTATCTGTAATGCTGAAGTATTTGACGGTATATCAGTGGCACCAAACTGGCTCTAATGAAAAGCACAGTTCAGGGAAGAGTAATGGCCATATTGAGAGTAGGCAGAAACAACAGGGAGGGAGAATATTACCTTTTCAGACTCGGCTTTCAATGGGTCTGTTTTGCTCTAACATTACCGGAGAAAAACACATTTGGTATGTAATCATTGTATTTCAAAACACAACATATCCATGCAGGGAACAATGCAGGGTAATTGCTCATTTTTTGTCACAGAAAGAAACCTGATTGTGTCAATCAGGGGCTGTTTGTTAACAAGAGGTCTAATCACTTCATTAATAGTGGGTATTTTTTGGATCAGGTGGCTGTTATTTTGTAGGCATACACTGTAAAACATTTTATGTTGGTTTAAAGGTGGGGTAGGTAAGTTTGAGAAACCGGCTCGAGATACACTTTTTGTTATATTCCATGGAATGCTCTTAACATCCCGATAGCAATGAATATCTTAAGTGCTTTGACAAAAAATCCATAAAAAAACTTCATCTGTGGAAGCCGTAGTACTGTAAAAAGTACGACCAATCATTTTAGCCGGCCCGGCTAAAATGACTGGATGGCCTACCTGCCTGTCAGTCTTCCATCGGGGCACAAACTTATCTCGTGCCCTCATTGGTCATGTGCGCGTTCGTGTGTGTTGGAGGAGGGGCTCTGTAAGGAAGTGGCAGATTTTCTCCGGTTGTGTATTTTCAAATTCTAGCGATCTCGAGCCGGTTTCTCAAACTTACCTACCCCACCTTTAAGGTAAACATTTAAGTTTTCTTGTGGTCTAAAAAAATAGTTTTAAGAATTGTGAAACAGATAAATGAAGTGTAATCATCATTAAGTGTAGCTGTTTAGTTGCACATTATTTGTTTTATATTGATCTAACAATGAACATGTCAATCTGCTCCTAGTGGCCTTGTTCATATTTGGGGGGCGTCTGGAGATTTTAACTCTCAAACAGTGCATGCTGGGAAGTCTGCTATATTACATTAAAGACATAACATTGTTAGACTCGCAATGGACAGTTTAAAAGAAAGGATACAAATACACACAGAGTAAGACAGAGTTTTTTAGTCTACACATTCTTCTTCCTTGTCAAAACCTGGTGTCTACATTACCCACAATGCAACTCGACCACCAACAGTTCTAATTGTATGAAAATGAAAACTAGAGATTGAATGAATTGAACGTTTTTACATTAAGTTGAAGCTTAGTGGACTCCTGTATGATGGTAGGCATAATATTTTCTATGTGTTATTATATTATCTAATGGAAGTCTCTGTAACAAGAGATGCAACAAAAACAAATTGCTAGAGTTAACATTAACAACTTCTTACACAACGTAATGGAGGTAAATCAAAAGTGTCCATTTAGTCCATTTGCTCAGGGCAGTTCAAGTTGTTGTGCGAAGAACATAAGTGCATCATCGGGGAATAATGAGTCTGCATGAAAGATGGTAATCATAGGGTCGATTTCATGAAATGCGCCGAGCATCCGCGTTCTTTACTCCACCGTTGAACTTGTGTGTGTTCTGAGATGGATGGACAGCTGGACACAGTGAGATAGTATAGATTAGCCGGGTGACTCAGCGGCCACCTGTCAAGTTTATATGTGTGTGTGTGTGTGTGTGTGTGTGTGAGTGTGTGTGTGTGTGTGTGAGTGTGTGTGTCCTTACACCAGTGCCAGAGAGTAGAGATAGAGGGAGAGAGAGAAATGCCCACAGCACAGCCCGCCATCTCTCAGTTCCAGTCCAGTGCCTGAGGAAATGTACCCTGATATTAGCTATTAAAGAGCAGATTGTCAGGGGAGCCATGCCAGCACTGACAGCAGCTGTACAATGGAGCCGGCTGCAGGGAGCCAGGAGGCTATCTGAGGCTTTTTCCCTCCA